GCGATAAACTGTCCACTCGGACTCATCAAAAGGGAACAGCATCTGAAGTAAAGAAATGGTCCTACACTATTTTGGCGAGTGCCCAGCATGACACACTCGGGAGTTTTTCCATCCAAAATCTTAGGGAGATCTCCAAATGCACCACTACTAGCCTAAATAGATTCATCGAAAAATCCAAATGGTTTGATGTAACCGACGAATCATGAAAGCAGGAAAAAAAGTCAAGGATCCCTGAGAAAGCGTATCAAAATTGTGCTATAGCACTAATTGGGTGCTGGGCATGTGCTCAGGCGCAGCTCCTGCCAGCCCATACATAAGCATGCTATCTGCTACTTGTAGCAGCAGCAAAATTTATGAATCAACTAGCTCATTATACAGTCAACCGTTAGAAGAGAGTTGGTCATATTTCATTATTCACTATTGACAGGTATTATATACAGATATATCTTTGTATGTATGTATGTATGTATGTACAAATATAACGATGTATGGGGTAGTGATGAATAATGTACATACATACATACATGCATCAACAACTGTGTATGGCTTTTGTATGCCAATATTGTCGATGACGTTATTTTTATTTAAATATTATCTAAATACTTTGATTTGTGCGCATAGATTCAACTTTAATTGTAAGTATTACAAACAAGTATACAATGGCGAAAATGGCATGGAAAAAGTTAAATAATTTGTCTTGAACAGAACGTGATCGTGATAATGTTGTAACAATCAGCGAGACAATTATCAACAAAAGAAAAAATTTTGCAAAACCAATAAAAAGCGCAACATCAGAAAACAAAACGAAAAACTACAAAAACAATGGTGGCACCAACAGTTTCTGCCACCTGGCGCAATTTCGTTGTTGCTGTTTTTTTTTTTTTTTTTTTTAAGCAGCAGCTGCAACAGTAAACAACTCTAAGCAACAATTCGCAATAGGTAGCAAAGAAAACAAACAATCACAGTGGCTGTAGGTACAACAACAACTGCGCATCATCAACACATCAACAGCTGTGAAGGACGTTGAAGGCCATTCATCGACATTTTACGTTTGGTATTGTTATTATGCGGCGGTCTATGTTGCTTGATGAGCTGGTTAGGCACCGCTGCACAGTGGTCCAAAACTATAATTTATTTTTCAAAATAGTCCAGAGCCTTAATTTTTCAAACAATTTGACAATTTTTTTTTTTTTTTCAGAAGTAGTATAGTATTTTAGTGTAATAAAGTGCATGTTTTCAGTGGCTAAGGATTCGCATTGATTTTTTTTTTTTTGTGTGATTAAAATTTTGTCGATTCAAAAGCTGCTTTTGATAAGTAGAAGAAGAAATTTCCATGTGCCACGAAGTAGATAAGTAGGTACATGCCTTATTTTTCTAAAATTCTGAAAATAATTAATTTTGGTGAAAATTTAAACTTTTACTTTTGCAATTGTTTTCGTTTATTATCAGGAACAATAAAATCGATTGTGATTGCTACTTTGTATGCATTTTGCACTAAAAAATGTAATATAAACAAATTAAATTTCGAAGAACGGGCTCTGCAGGTATCTCCTAAATGTTATTGGCTTTTATTAAAAAAAAAATTATAAAAATCAAATCGGTTGAAAAATTAGGCCTCTTAACTATTTTGAAAAGGTTTGGAACACTGTGTTGTGTTGGTTCGTTATAAATTTTTGTTTTTCATTTATAAAACTGTTAAACACTAAACTCACTTGTTTCCATTTGGTTTTATGATTGTGTGTGTGTACGACGCACACAATATTTGGGGAGGGGTTGCACGGAAGTGCTCATCATATTTTTTACACTTAACGTATGTACATATGTATGTACGTATAGAGGCGTGACACACATTTTCTGCGTCTACTCTACGGACTTGCGTTAGCCAAAAAAAGTGACTGAACATTGAATCATTAATTCTACCAAAAAACTATATTTCATAGACCAATTAATTAAGTGTGCAAAAAAAAAATACGAAATTACGAAAGACATGGAAGCTTAAGCTGATGGATCTTTTAATTGAAAAATGGTTTCTACCTTTAAACACATACATACATATATATATTTCTAAGGAAATAATTTACTAAAGCCATAGTTCCTGCTTTTAAATTCAATAAGTGATCACTGAAATGTCAGTATGTTGTATTTGTGTGCGCAACTAAACAAATTAATGGCATAAATGTATTTAGTCTATGAAAAAAAAAATATACATAAATTATTTTAAACTACTAAAAATATTTTCCTGGACTGGGCTTCTTTTCCTATTTGTAGTATTCCAAAAACGACCGGCTAACACTATTTTTAGTAACAGAAATACACTCGAATATTTGTCATAAATAGTCTGTCGAGGAGCGACTGCTGTTAGAAAAATCTCTTTCCATTTTGAAATATTGCTCGAATCAGGGATCGATAAGCCGGGTGAAAAGGCGAATTTTATTATTCAAAAAGGGTCTACAGCCTGCAATGCTTAACGGATTTTTATTTTTTTTTTATTTGAGAGATGATTAAATTCTTAAAAGGTTTAACAATTTACTTTTAAAATTTTTTGTTTTGCTTCATAGTTTTTTTAACAAGGTTGAAGAAATACACTTTGCAGCAGAAAAATTATTTGCTTGACTCCAAGGCGTTAATTGTTGGATGTCCTATATTTTTTGTAAATAATATTTTTATTAATTTTTTCTCTATGGTTTTTACAATGTAAATCGAAAAATTTTACCATTTTTGCAAAAAAAAAATAATAATTTACTAAAAATATCTCGTAAACGAGTAATTTTTATGAATTATTAACAAACTATAGGAAATATTAATCGGTTAACGAGCTCTCTAGATACAAGAAATTTTTATAATCAACTTTTATTTTTTTAATCAAAACCGTTAACTGTAAAAACAAAAAACTTAAAATTGTAGCATCTTAAGAAATGAGTTATCTTTCAACAAAAAAAAACTAAAATACGCCAAGGATTGTAACCTGCAAAACTTTTTGAATAGTAAATTTTGCGTTTGCACCACTGTGCGGCGGCTGCATCTACTTATGTATATATTTTCCCCATAATAATCCCTTTTTGTATTGAACGATAGCTATTGAGGTGAAAGCTGTAGAGATAATAATGTATTTCCTAGTACGTAATTGGTTATTGGCATGGTCAAGTGAGTCCTTAAAGATTAGCAAGCGAACTCCAAAATTCACTATCGCTATTTTTTATCGCTGAAAATCTCCAAAAGAATAACAGGCGTGCCTAACAACATGCAACAAGTAGTTGCTTTGCTTTCATTTTCCATGCCTTATACTTTTAAGCCCCACTTATTTTCATTAAGAAAATTTTGGCGATGAAAATTTAGAGTAGCGATTGTCCAAATTCCACTTCAGGTCATCGTTTATTCCTGATAAGGAGTTTGAGACTTGTTGACTTACCCGAACCCCATAAAAATAGGTATGCAACGGTTGAATCGGGTAAAATATCCGGCCAGCGCAAACCACCGAAACGAGAGATTAAGCGAGAATTCAGTCCTCCGAATTTCGGTTGTAGCTCTATGCGACGCTGCTCAAACCTGTTGAAACATTAGCGTGGGACATGTTCCACTGTCTCTTCGTTCGGCATCCTTTACGGATTCGATCATTGCTCAGAGCCAGTTTAAAGGCATGCGATACCAACAGACAGTATCCTGTTTGAGCATCAACCAGTAGCCTAGCGTCCTGCCTCTTGAGAGATAGAAGAAACATCGTGATCATTATATCGTATGCTCTCCACAGAATCCAAGGCGCTTGGCAACTTTGTGTGTTCGTACATACCTTCTGCTCCTTTCGTATCATGTACAGGTCGAGACCCTGTTTAATTGCTTGAAGAGAACCGGCACTTATTCCATGAGCAGCGTAGTTTGCGACAAAGCGCTTTGGCAAGCCTGTCGGCCTCCTCAGTGTCCGTGGAACCGGTGTGCCCCGAAGCCCACTACAGATTACGTCTATGCCAATGTGCAACACATCCAATGCTGCCCTGCGCTCTTACACACTTATTAAGGAAGCTTAACTCTCGATATAGAAATTAACCCATTTATTTGTTTGGTTGCAGCTCAGTAGCTACGCGTCTACGCCTTTGGTTTTGGGTGTTAAACTACGTGTCAGTCAGTGGCGGACGCACGGGGTGTGTTTTAATATGGCGCTTATGTGTGTATAATATGGCATCTATGTATTAAAACACCCCCCGTGGGTCCGCCACTGACTGACACGTAGTTTTACCCCCAAACCCCCCCTGCTGGATCCGCCCCTGCCCGTAAGCAATCCGGTAATAACTGTGCAATCTTTCTTTAGTAGTCGTGATAAGAACTTCTTTGAACAGTCTGAAAAAATTAACCCACATTAAAAGATCTCGTTTTAGGAGATAGGACTGTTTAGCCGTCTTTACCGATGGGCCAAATATGGTCATTTATCGGTATAATAAGTTATACGCGGCTCGGAAATGCAAATCTACGAGGTAGATAACTCCCCACAATTACCGATTTATTATCTACATGCATAGAAAAATTAATAAGTAAACCTCAACCGTGACAAATGACCAAAGCTCAACAAAAAGTGAACTGAAGAAATGTTTAAGTTAAATAATTCCACACTTGGGGTTCTTACGGACGCCACCACAGGGTGCTGTGCTATTACACCAATTCTCTGCCGATGTATTAAACCAATAAGTTCACTTTGTTAACAAATTGATTCCCCCTTTCCTAGATTACCAGATATGACGGCCCTCGTATATGAAGTCTAGTTTTTTTTTACCAATTTCTTCTGGAGCAATATGTGGTTTAATAGCTTTTTGGCCTCCTGTGCTTCGTTCTGGTCACTCAAATATAAAGGGTATTCACAACAAGCACAATTATATGTCACTGAGTGAAAGCATGACATCTTGAAAACAGAACCTTAAAATAACTATAAACTATTATTTAAATTATAGAGCTTTTCCGGCTATATAAACTTACTCAGCGAAAAAGTCCACCATCATTTTAACTATAAATCTTTAATACTTTTGATTAGTTACAACATCTTTTGTCATATTGAAGAAGCACGTAGCCTCGTACCTAAACAAATCGGCTAAGCTAAATATATTCAAATAAGTCGAAATTACCGTAGCCAAAACACCAAAAACCATAACCGACAAAGACGCGGTGAAATCGCATTTCAAACCATACCAACATTTCAAAGTATGTAGCCAGGATTTGCGCAAACGCAAACGCCAAGACAGCGATACGCCGCGCTGTTGTTGTTGTTCCAACATCAATAACTGTTCCATATCGGTATGTACGGATTCGAAATTCAAATCGAGCGGTATACTGCCATAGGAAGACTCCGTGGCAAAACGTTGATGAACTCTTTCCATTCGGCGAATACGCCTATACAGTAGTGGCGGTAGAATGAATACTAACGGCGCGACAATTGTGCCGCCAACAATGTCCATGAGTACACCGAAATTGGGCACAAACTCTGCTATGAGCACTTCGAGGCCCACAACGGAAGAGCGCAAGGCGATGCGCTTCCACGAGAAGGCTGCCAGAGAAGAGAAATTAAGTTAGTAAATGTTTTGGTCGGCCAGAAACATGTATGTAAATATGTATGTATGTATGTATAAATGTTTTCACTCCTTCCTCTACCTTCTCTGATATGTAGATAATTTTCAATCTGCAAAAACATCGCTGAACTACCCACTATGATGGAGAAGCACAACTGTACCGCGATAAGTATAAGTAGAAAATATAAAGGTAAACTTTTCGGTAGAGATTCGAGCAGATTATCCGCAATCATTGCGCCAAACTTGTAGATAGCAATAATGGAACCGAAAATCGCAATGGCACATNTTCGAGCAGATTATCCGCAATCATTGCGCCAAACTTGTAGATAGCAATAAGGGAACCGAAAATCGCAATGGCACATGTTACTGTAATTGAAAAAGGGGGTTCGATGAAAGTGTGTGTGTGTGTGTGTATATGCATGCTAGGGTGCTACTTAAAATGTCGGCATCTAAATTTTGTATGGGTCATCCGTTTATTTCGTTCTATTTACAAAATATGTACATTCACGAAAATTTTTAAAATAACACAGGCCTGCGAAAATTAACTTTATTTTCCCGCTTCCAAATTTATTTTTATTGATGACATGCATATTTAAGAATTTTTAACAATTTTCATGAAGAGCCAAAAATACATATTATTGAGAGCAGTTTGAATGGGAACAAAGGGTCCGGGAACGTTTCTACTAAGAACAAAATGCCAATAAAACTCTCGGGAATGTTCTCACGTAGAACGGAATGAGAACGAAACTTTCGGGAACGTTTCCAATAACAACTAAATACGAACGAAAATATCAAGAACATTTCCAAAGAGGATCAAATAAGAACAAAAGTTTTGGAAACGTTCTGCTAGAAAACAAAAGTTGGAGAACTTTACGTTAAGAATGAGAGGAGCATATGTGTGCTGGGATGAAAAATCGTTTCAGTGAGAAGCACGATTGTTAGTTCTAAGCTAGAGGAAGCTGGATCATTTCAACTTGCAGATTATTAACCATTACAGTCAAATGTCCATTTATGGAACAATTTTTAAATTTCTGTGCTAGAAAAGTGTATGTCCTAAATCTTTCGTTGCCTTTATTTGCATAATTATGTTTCAGTTCAAACATTTCGAACTAATGGAACGCTATGAGAAAATTTTGTTCTCGCTTCCTTTCTTTTCGAATAATTCATAGAAGATTTGTTCGCGTTTCGTTCGCCGTCAGTAAGTTCCTGAGACTTTAGTTCCAAAATCGTTCTTCGACAGAAAGTTTCTCAGACTTTTTCCTCGTTTTATTCTTTGCGAAAACGTTCCGGAGACTTTTGTTTGCTTTTTTTTCTTTTTGGGAACGTTCCCGTTAAGAACGATCTCGACAGTTTTGTTCTCATTTCGGTTTTGGTTTTGAAGCGTTCTTGGGAACAAAACTACCAGAACGAGTGTTTGTTTCGATCATACTTTCTGTTCTTGGTTCCTGAGTATTAGTTAAAAACTAACTAAAACTAGGTAAATCCGAAAGACTTTTGGAAACTCGAAGTTAACGCCAGTAATACGCGGTAACACTAAGGAAAATGAAAAAGTAAATTTGCATGAAAATTGCAAGTTATGTTTTAAAGGGAGAAACCATCGCTATTAGGTTTCAAAATGCATTTTGAGCTCTCCTCATAGCTATAGATGAGTTTCTTCGTAGTTTTCAGGTTAGTTATTTTAAACCTGTGTTATTTGGAACTTAGTGAAAAATTTGAAAAATGCTACCCTTTTTCCGGAAAAACTTAAACAAAGGATATTCTTTGGAGCTTAATATTTATTACACGATGAATCCACATGCAATGACTATGAATTTGTATGAATAATTTCCCATAATATTTATGTTAAATTTAGCAGATTTTAATTCTTTCATATCGTGGTTATGACGCCTAAAAATTAATTTAAAATTTTTAAATTTCCGTGGATGTTTTTATTTTTTACGTAGGATCAAATAAAGGGATGTCCCATACAAAATTTAGCTATTGGCATTTTAAGGAGCATCCAAATACATACTACATATATAACTATGTACATATATAGCAAAATGTTATCAAGTATTGAAGTGTATAAATTTATTTATGAGTTCTTATATCATAGCAAACTCACCGGTAATGCCGCTAAATGCGGCCCAGTAAACTTGAGACTTTTGCTGCATATCGATTTGCAAGGTGAGTAACATTGGATGAATGTCGAACTGGAAAGCCAAAATGCTGTAGCCATTCAGAAGGGCCAATAACGATGGTAATTCTACAGAATTACATAAAATATATCACAAGTATGTATGTACATAAGTAGTAGTTAGCTGCATAAGTTAAAAGTCAATGAACGTTCTCATTTATGTGTGAACTTACCCAGGCTGACACCTTCGAAGGGTTTGCCCAACGGAGCTGAGGCAAAGAGGCAAAACCACAAAAGAATTACAATCACAATGAGTACGATAAGTGAGAAAATCGCCAAACCCCTGCGATAATATGTAAAAGAAAGATATAAATTACAATGCATGTATGTACATACATATGTGCACCGTCTTGAAAAAGGGGCACAACTCAAAATTACACATGGTATTCATATGCTTCAGCTTTGGCTGAAAGGTAAATAAAAGCTCTGCGGACATATTTAGCGCATAATTTCAAAAATGCCAAATTTTGAGTTGTGTCTCTATTGAAAAATATTTGTCAACATTCAACTATATATACATATGTACATATCGTCGCATTAGAGTGTAAACCTGCTAACTACCTTCAACGAAATTTTACAGCGCAGGCAAAAAACTACTAGGGTGGTCCTCAACACCTACGTCCATGCTAACATAGTCGAAGATATAACATATAAATTTTGGTCCCGATTGGAGACGGTTTAGGCTTGTCGCATAGGGGGGCAAAGTTCAGATTCCTCTACGTAGACTCAAAAAATTTAAATTAATTTATATACAAATTTTGGTTCCGATTGAAGTCGGTGAAGGCGTGTCGCACAGGGTTGCCACCTGTTTAAAAAATCAAATTCAATTTGAACTAAGCGAATTAAGTAATTGAAATATGTAAGTAACACCATTTTGGTGCCAGACGAGGGAGGTTTAAGAAGAAACATAGTAGTTTGAAAATATTTTGAAAAGGGTTGCCACCAGTTTTAAAAGTCAAATTAAATTAAATTGTAACCAGGATATGTGAAATGTTACAAATGGGTTTAAAAAACGAGAGTTTTAAGAAATCTTTACTTTGAACATGTATAATATTTTTGAAGTATTTGAAGAGGGTTGCCAACGTTTTAAAGGTTAAATTCAAATTACTTAATAATGATTGCCACGTGTTTAAAGAAATTTAATTCAACTTGGTTCATGAGTTAATTGAAATATGTATCACAATCAATGATATTTACAAAGATTTTAGTTTGAAAATACTTTTGAAGAGGCTTGCCACCTGTTTACAATGTCGAATTTATTTAACTTATATACAAAGTATATGAAATATTAAAATAAGGGTGTCAAGGGAAAGAGTTTTAAGAAAGATTTAGTTGCATTAGGGTTTTCACCTATTCGAAAACTCATATCTATCAAAATTTAGATGAACAATTAAAGAGCTGGGCCTGTAGTTTTATTTTTTGAAGTTAAAACATTTTAGTGGTACAGTGTGAGATTGTATGCTCTATTTCTAAGCTATATTTAAGAGGGTTGCCACGTGTTTAAGAAATTAAATGTAACTTAGTTCATCAGTTAATTGAAATAATTATTACATATGTTACGTTTTATTTGCAAGCAACCAATAAGTAATATTAACAGTTTTTTCTCTGCGCTATAAACTTTAGTTGGAGGTTAGTTAGCACGTTTACACTCTAAGGCGACGATATACTATTTATGTATACATACATACCACGACTAAAAAGTATAATCGGACAAACTTAACTTCCGTAGACTCGTTTTTTTTTTGTTTGGTTTCCTATTGGTTTTTACAACGAAAAAGCCAATGGCAGAAAACAACGTTCTATTAAAAAAAAGTAGAGCATGCGACTGAAGTGACACTTTTTCTTTCTTTTTCCCATTGGTACAAGGGAAAACATAAAATAAAAATGTTAAATTGTGCGTTGTCTTATTATTTGTTGGGCTGTCAAAACCAGCTGTCGTTTTATATTAGAATAACTTTTGTGTACTCAAAATAGATTTCATTATAAATTTTTGTCATTAAAATCAAAAAATTAATTTACCAAAGGACTGATCTGCGCTCACTTGTTTGAAAAAGTCATCTCCTTTCATTTATATGTTGTCCGATTATTCTTTGGATCCACTGTATGTGTATTACCATTTTTAAATGCATAGCTTCTTCTTACCGCATATATTTGGGACTGCGCAGCCACATAAGCGGACAGCAAAATATTCCTAATATAATGACCCAGTAGCAGAAAGAAAATGAAAATTCATTATCGGTTATACGTTCGCCAACCAACTCGAGATTTTGCGCAGCTAATACCAAACTTGGTATAGCTGTGGCAAATATACTGATGTCTAGTAAAATACGTACGAAGATGCTGAGGCAACGCCCATATGCCAAATCGGCAATAGCTGCATAGGGATATCTGAGAAAGAAAAGAACATATCGGATGAATAGTCTTACCGTTTTTTTTTTTTTATGTGAAACCATCTTTATGGCTCCGAGCTCATTCGTCATAGAATCGCCAGCTCTTACGAAATAAAGTAGAAATCAAACAAAACCTTTGAATTGAATGAAGTAATTTGTTCGAAATTAAGCAATTTGTGCTGTAGTGTGAACACATTTTAACATTGAAGTAAATAACAATTTCTATGAATTTAAAAATTTAAAAGTTCAGCGACGATAAACTTTAACTTTAACTTTAAGAAAAATAGTTAATGAATATATATTTTTGAGTTGAAGGTAGCATGATTTTAATTTTTTTCTTCTGGCAATTCGAGAGCTTTCGCAAACTCGCCCCGAAAGAAATTTCGGGCTATTTCGGCCTAGTGAAATACACAAATTACTCTCTCAAAATTGTCCTCAAAAGTCCGGCTATCTCGCCTTCAACTCCAGAAAATTCGTATATTTTGCCTGCTCCTAGATTTCCCAAGTACTTTTAAATTTTTATGAAAGTATTTATGCTAAAAATATGTACACTGTGTGCCTGCCGGAGGGACGGCTATTAGAAAAGTGCATTTATTCCATCGTTTGGGTGTTACACACATGTGGCGAAAGTTTTGAAAGTTGATAGGCAATTGGCGAAGTTTTTTTGGTGTCGGCCCAAACCGAAAAACGTTTGTAGTGGCAAATAGGAAGAAGAAAAGAAAACAATTGGATAATCTGAACTTAGAATTGATTCTATATCCAGCGTCCGGTTTAGTCTAGTAGTTGGGGGTTCATTAGATATCTGGCCTGGGCCCAAATCGCGGCATTCGATATCGAACGTAACTCGAATCGAAATTCAATTTTGAGACCACGGCATTCGATAGCGAGTGTGCTTCGCCCGCTAAAATTGTATGGTGGAGAAAATATCTGCCTTTCATTCGATTAAAAACGAGTAATCACTCGATCACGAATGCCGCGATTCGGGCCCAGACAAGAAATCTAACGGACTACCAACTACCAAGCGAAAGCGGACGTTGGATATGGAATCAATTTAAAATTCTGATTATCCAACTGTTTTCTTTTCTTCTTCTTCCTATCTAGCACTATAAACGTTCGCCAATTGCCTATCTCCTTTGTGGACTTTCGCCACTTGTTCATCGCTGGCGCAGACAGGTAATTCGTACAGTTCTTCGGTAATCGTTACCCACGTGAACAGCGCTGTAGATTTTTCGTAGAGCAGTACACCCAAAGCTTTCTCAACTTTGTTCGATATCTTCTACGTGTCTGCGCCATATACAGGAATGGGCATGATGAGAGACTTGTATAGTTTTTGTTCGCATAGTTTTTGTTCGTCGAAAGAGGGCTCTGCTTTTCAATTGCCTACCGAGTAAAAATTAGCAGCTATTATTGGCAAGAGTTACGAAAAATTACACTGAAGATGGCACAACGCCGAAACAGGTTTGTCTGGAAACCAAGCTTGACAAGGATGACAGAAATTGGTTCCAAAATAAATCAGTTATTTGTTTTTTTTTTTTAACATAAATCAGTTATATTGCACTTGATCTCCAGGCTGTATAGGATTTGTGCTGGATCCTAGGTAGGCAAAGTGCTTCTTTATTTCAAAGTTATAACTGTCAACAGTGAAGTGTGACCCCAATATTTTTTTTATATTTTGCCAGTAGGTAATTCGGCTTGTCCTCGTTTACCGCTAGATTAACCTCTTCAACTTTGCTCTGCTTCGCTAGATGTACCCCTATAGGAATACCTTAAGAAATTATATCGTGGGTTCTTTGCATTTGTGTCCTTATTGCTGGGAACCATCGATACCTACTTCTTTAAGACTGTATTATCAATTTGACCCATAGCACCGTCATTGCACAAGTCTTAAATTCTCTACTCACCTACTTTTCTGCGTTATGGACGGATCGAAGGACTCAGCCATAATCCAGCATTGGCTAAGTAAAAACGAAGTGTAGATTTGTAGCACAATTATGGACAGAACCAAAGGTATACCGAGGACACCCAGTTGCACCAGTAGCGATGGCAGTGTTATGAACGGGAGAACACCAAATAAATCAATGATGTATAAGACGGCAATGAGCAGTGTTAAGTTCTGCTTCTCTTCGCCGATAATTTGCAGATGTGGCAAAGCACTGAAACGCGCGCGCGACAAAAACGGTAATTGGTCATTGTGTGACTGCGTAGATGGAGGCAATGATGGTAGGTCGCTGGAGTGGTAATATGCCTTCGAAGGACGCAATGCAGGTTTATGACGTCGCTTAAAGAACATGCTGCGTGTCGATTTGTAAAACAAAAAATATCGTTTACTTGCTTTGTTGTATGTATGTACATATAGTATTTAGGTATTGAGCTAATGCCTGTTTAAGATGAGTTTATTTGCTAACACATTTTCCATTATGAATTGGCACAATTGTGGAGCCATTTAATTAACAATACAACTGGACGGTTGAGCGTGGCGCGGGCAACTGAGGCCCTTTTTGTATTAGAAAAGCGTTACAAGTCCACAAGTTGCAACCAAGACATAACCGTTAGATACATACATACATATGTGTGAGAGAAGAAATACCTATGTATTTTATACATATATGTACATATGTATGTACACCAACGAGAAATACCAAATGCAATAGTTTGCGCTCAAAGTAGTTGCCAGTAATTTGATCCTCCAACAGCAGCAATGTAGGCCTGTGGCAAATATATGTAGGAACAGTTTACATACATACACTTGTGGTCAGCTGATTAAGTTAAGCGACATTTCGACCAGTTTTGGTTTTTTCTCTTTTATTTATTTAATGTTTACAACTTTTTTATAAAAGTCTAGCACCATATACATTTTTTACCAAAATTAAAAAAATTCACAAACATTTTAACAAACATTTAACATTTACAACCAAAAACTTTGTATTAAAAAATTTTAGAAAAATTTTAGGTATGCAGTTTTATAGCCCATTCAATTCTAAAATGCTAAGAAATCGCGTTGATTCTCAATAGTTTTTTTTTTTTTTTTGCTGAAGGTGTTTGGCATTTTCCTCCATATAATAGTAGGTTAGGTTAGGTTGAAGTGGCTGCTAAGCCCAGAGGGCGCCAGCACACTTAGGCCCGATCAGGGCCCATTGTGATACCACATGGATCCAAAAAAACCCCTACTCCTTAAACAAGTTTGTGGAGTCTGCAAACCTTAGCAACTGCCGTATTCCAAACTTAGCAGTCGCGCTTAGATCGTCTAGAAGACCTATACCTAGGAATTTCTGTCTTTTCCTGCCCAGTGCTGGGCAATCGCAGAGTAAGTGCCTTATTGATGCAGGCTCTTCTTCGTCGTGGCAGCTCCTGCAGTAGTCATTGTGACTAACCCCGAGGCGTTCTGCGTGCCTTCCTATCAGAATATGTCCTGTGAGCAGACCAATTGCCAGTGACATATCGCCTTTATTGAGAGTGAGAATTTCTCTCGATCTCCGTACATCCCATTTTGGCCATGTAAGCTTCGTTGTATTACAGTTTTCAGTGCGCTCCCATCTGGAGGCCGCTTCTTCAAGGAAGTTCTCCCTTAGTAAGAGCTTGCAGGAAGCGAGTGGCATACCCACCCTCTTCCAGGCTGGTGAAAGTGGAGAGCAAGTACCCGCCCTTGCAAGCTCGTCTGCCTTCTCATTTCCTGGTATGTCACTGTGCCCCGGTACCCATACCAGGTGCAAAGCGAACTGCTCTGCCATCACGTTAAGTGATTTGCGGCAGTTGGCAACTGTTTCCGAATTTATAGTGACAGAGTCAAGCGCCATAAGGGCCGCCTGCCTGTCTGAGTATATATATATTTCCGTAATGGCGATATAATAGTAACTGTCGAGCATATTTTACATACCTTTATGGGAGCAAATGCTCAACACCGTCAGCTAAAAAGAATTATTCAAAATCAGCGTCCTACTAAAGTTTAATGGGTTATAAAACTGCATACCTAAAATTTTTTCTACAAATTTTTAATAAGAACTTTAAATTTTTTATAAATCTGGTACGAAGTTTGAAATGTGATTTTATAAAAAAATTATAAACAATAAATAGACAAAAGAAAAATAGCCAAAACTGGTCAAAATGTCACCTAGCTTAATCAGCTGCCCACAAGGGTTTGTTTGTTCAAATGTACATACATAAATACGTAGATTCAACGTAAATGCAAACATACTACGTGGCATAGAACTTATGTGAAGTAAAACGGGTGGTCCATATAGTGTTTTTCGCCCCCTTTTAAAGTATATGTTATTTTGACAATAACAGCTCTTTCCCGCAGGAAATCTTGAGAAAAAGTCAATAGCATATCCCCGCGAAATGAAATGAATCGTTTACGTTTGAACAACGTCTCTTTCTTCACGAAACGCATTTTCATCCCGGCGGCTACGTTAACACTGCTGTATCTGGCGATCGGAAACCCCGCACGAGATCGTCGAGAAACCAAAACATCCTAAAAATCACTTTATTGAAAATTCCGCTGGAAACACCATTTCGGTCTACGGTGAGCGCTACGGTGGCGTGATAAACGATTTTTTGTGACCGGCAATTGAGTATTTGGACTGGATGATCTTTGGTTGAAACAGGATAGCGCGCTATGTCAAATTCGGTAATCGTGTTATCAGCTGTTTCGGCGATGCCATTTGGCCACCACGTAGCTACGATTTGATACCGTTAGACGCTCTTTTGTGGCGCGTCGTGAAGTATCACTGTTATGCGAACAATCAAGAGAAAACTCGAAAAGCCTATAACGAAGGAGCAATTACATTGTAAAAAGATAATAAATAATAAGCTATAATTGTGATATTTCAGGCCCCTTAAAAATCTTCTTGTGTCTGGTTTACAATAACTTATCTTAACATTTAGTGCAGGTATATAAACTCTCAGTTTTTTTTTTTTTTTTAAATACACCACTATATAGACCACCCTGTACACACATACATATTTACTTTACTACAAAGTTCAATAACATTGTTTTTAGTAATCAGAAAGTTTTACAAAATGTGAGACCGTTGGAATTCTAACTTCATCTTGCTAAAATGGTTTTCTTTTTAACCGACTTCAAAAAGAGAGGAGGCTATCAATTCGCCGGAATGTTTTTTTCATGGACAGTGCCGAAAATATAAATAGATAAGCGACATTTTGACACTCTTTGGTTGTTTCCCTTTCATATATTTAATGTTTATTATGTTTTTATGAAAACGTAAAAACCATGTAAGTCAAAATTTCAAAATTTGTACAAAATTCGACAGTTGCATCAAAATTTTTAGCTTTTCAACTCGATGTCTTTAAAATATTCTGAGTATGCAGTTTGTAGCCCATTCAATTTTAGTACAACAAGGTGCAACTTCAAAGTAGCTAGGACTTACTATTTATTTTTTGCGAAAGTTCGACTGAAAGATTTCAAATTTTCAGAAATATTTGTTAAAACTTGACAAATTTTTATAAATATTCTACGAAGTATGAAATTTTTATTTATATGTTTTTTAGATAGTTATCTATATTTTCATAAGATAATAAAATTTTTTTGTAAAGAAATAAAAATGGACAAAACTTGCTAAAATGTCTCTTCTCTTTTTTTCGATAATTCTTTTTGTAACGGGTAGGTGGTACTTCAAGCATGGTTCCATACTAAGTAATTTGGTATATATCCAATCTTTGGATCATGAAGAAATTAACGGTACTTGAAAATTTTTATATAAGACTTGAAGTCGGTGGTGTTATTTGCTTAAAAATTACTTTTATATACATACATTAGGGCGGGTCAATTTTATTTTTTACTATGTGCGTATAGCATATGAGAATTCTGCGTGCCATTCTAAGCAAATTTTCCGAAGAAACCATGGGTATAAATTATATAAAGGACGAATAATTATTGAAAATGAAGTTTTATTAATTAGATTTTTTAAACTAATAAAATTCGAAGGGCGAAATTCGTTCTTATGCACCAAAGAATTTAAACTTTTTAACTCTGGAAAATTTTTTCTTTTAAATCATAGAGAGAAAACCTAAAAACGTAGCTTTACTATTTTTGGCTCCAAGTTTCGAGAGTATATTGATTTTATGTGTGTAAAATTGACCGTCGGACGGTGTTATCGGTCATATATCCGTTATTTTTCCAATTGGGTCTAATTTATGATTTAATGTGAAACCTGCAAGTCTCGGAAAATTTTCAGAACAAAATTTGAAATATCTATTACAAAATTTTGTATTTCATTAATAAATTTTTTATTTAATTTAGTTTGATTGCATTTAAATTTATTTTATTTTGAATGTATGTACATTAAGGTGGTCCAAAAAAAAAAAGATAAATGTTAAACTCTCAGCCCCTAGGATTTTCCTAAATGGTATAAAAAATACCCGTACTTTTTTGTTAAAAAAAAAAAAAACAAATATAACGTGCCCTAACCGCCAAATATTTTTTTCAAATTTTTCTTTTCGATGCAAAAATGTTCCTAGAGCACCTAGATGCATTTCTCAATTGTTTGTTTTAAAATTTTTTTAAACCAACGATTTTTTATGGGCCCCCTTTGCATTTATATATGTTTATGCGCTGCGAATAAATTGCTCCATATCATCGTTTGAAGTACAAAACCACGTATCGTCATTCTGCAAAATCGCGTAACTGACATTTGCTGCCAAAAATTGCATTTGCTCACACAAGCTCTTGGCTAAATGAATTTGCTTTATAAAACGAGAACCATTTTGAAATATGAGTGTTTTTAGTCTCTAGAAAATAATTTATGCAACCTCACATACGCGGTTTTGCATTTTGTTGATACGCGGTTTTGTACTTTAAACGACGATATATATATGTATGTGTGTACATATGTAAGTCGAAATCTTTGAATATACGGGAAGGAATAGGGAAGCCCTTGATAAGCCAACTCCATTCCACTCTGTGAGTATGCAAATGCATACATATGTGCATACACCAAATGTTCGTATGTATGTACACCCACTCTATGTACCTTATTATTCCTATACAAAGTTTGCAATGTCATTGCACTTTTACCCGGTGACAATTAAGAATTTTGTACATCATACAAGAAAGCAAGCATTGTATTGCAAAATTTTATTTTTAGCAACATTTTATACCTGAAGAAAATTTTAACTGTTCTACATTTAAAGCGACCTTCAAAAACTATCAAGAATTTCTTTTCAAAAGCAACATTGAACGATCTTAAGAAAACTATGGCAGTGGGTTATCCAATTGAAACACTTTTCTTTTTGAATTATTTCGTTTTTTTTCTTTTGCAAAAACATACATACATACATACATATAACAGATATGTGCAAAAATACTGGCATTCAGTGATTTATTGTCTGTTTTCTGTGGAATAAACTCAAATCGCCAAGTCGACCATTTTTAAGAGGAGCAGAAAATCGATTTGACATCAACGCGGGAATAATACAGAGGTTCAAGAGGTAAAAAGTATGCTCATAAGTATACGTA